TTATCTCACTCAGGCTTTTATATTAATTACACATTGAGATAATGATAGTCTTGATATCTTAGATTTCAGAGATGTTCATTATTCAAATTGATGTCACTGGTTTCTTTTTATTTCTTCATACTGTAGCTACTGGAACACTCAAAATCACAGAAAAGGTTCATATTTTGTTTCCGCTGGTCGGTGCCGGCCTTTTTCCCAGACAGAGGACATTGCACCATCCCTAAGCAGATGCAGGGCATCTTAGGTTTTGGAATACAGCAAGAATAAACACACTCAGACATTCGAAGGAATTTCTCTCCTGGAGAGAATCCCTGTTCCCACCCTCCTCTCTTCCCTAAATCAATCCTGTAGATTTCAAAGGCAAGTGTAGTGGGTGTTGATCACCTCCAGCAGAGAGAGTCAGCCATCACAGTACCAGGAAATGATAACTGACATGGAGGGGCTCTGATTCTCACTGGACCTCATGGAGGAAACTTTTAAGGACCTGTTTTTGTGTCTTGAGTTGCTTTGTGAGTTAGTATTTGAAAAGCTTTTGTCATGTCAGATCACAGTGAATTTCATTTTATTTTTATCAGCCACATAGTATTCCATTGTGAAGAGAGACTTGATTTTTCTTCTGATTCACACATCGTTAGTTTTCCATTTCTTTTTCATGTTGTATCTTTAAAAAGAAATGTGTGAATGTTATTTTAGCATTCCTAAAAGTGATTCGGTGGCCCAATGGTTTATGTTTTTATTTTGATGGATACTACTAAATTCCCCCCAAAAAACATTTTATCAATTTATATCTGACTGAGATAAAAATGCCCATTTTCCCCTCATTCTCTCCAACATTTAATCCGTCTCCTCTTTTCCTATTCAAATGAGTGGTAAATGCCATTTGTGTTTAGGAACCTGTTTCCCAGATTCCTAATGAAACTAAGAAGCCCTACCAGTGTGTACTGGCCAATAGTATGAACTATATAAATAGTTTATTGCAATCTTTACCCATTTTTCTTAAAGGTTGTCTGCCTTTCTTTTATAGACATTCTTTTTTTTAAATACACAGTGTTATATATTCATTCTTTTATATATTTTGGATGCTCGAATTTTAATAATGTAAGTGTAGAAAGTATTTTACCTCAATCTGTCACCTTTTCTTTTCCTTTGTTAGCTTTTTAATTGAAGAATAACAAATATACCAAAAAAAACCTGAATAAAATATGTCACGTTCAATCAGTCATCACAAAATGGTACATCCATGTAACCAGAATCCAGGTCAAGAAACATAACATTGTATGCAGCTAAGCAGTCCCTCTCACACCCGCCCAACCATCTCCCCCCCCACACAGGTAATGATTAAAAAGCAACAATAACTACCAAGAGATGAGCTTTGGGGTGTGCTGGGGCTGTGGCTGTTCTTCAACCTGAGATGCAGTGAGATTCCAGCTTCCAGATGATGAAACTGCTGCAGAAACCTGCTCCCTGCCTCTGTAATAAAGATGAAATTTCTGGGGCTGCCCCAGATCCACAGGGGTCATGCACTGCCCGGAAGTGCTCTGGAAATCCACCTGAGCTGCAGCGCTTTGCATGCATGGTAAAAATTAGGGACGGAAAACAAACCTTGTTCCTCCTTCCACTCCCCTAGCACATATGAGGTACTTGGGTTCAATCCTCAGCACCACATAAAAATTAATACAGTAAAGCTATCGTGTCCATCTACAACTTAAAACAAGTTTAAAATAAAGGGTTGGGGCTTTGAAAATTTCATATACAAGAGTCACACCTCACCTGTTTTTCTGTGGCTGATTCCTTGTTGCTGTGGGTCAATATTGGGTTTGAAATTCATCCTCTGTCGGGCCACGAAGCTGCCATATATACATTTCCATTGTTGTACGTAACATTTTACAAGTGTATCATACTGTATTTACCCATTCTGGTCTTGATGGACCTCTGGTGGTTGTTGTTTGTTTTTTTAAGTCTCTATGAACATGCTTGTAATATCTTTTGGGGTGTGTGTGTGTGTGTGTGTGTGTGTGTGTGTGTGTGTGTTTAATATATTTCAGTTGGATACAGCCTGAAGAATTGAATTCTGGGTCAAAGAGTGTGGTAGTGTCAAGTTTTGAAAGCACTTTATCCATTGACGGATCTGTCATCAGTGTAAAAGTTTTGACTACTCCCCATCTTCCCCAACACTTGGTATTATGAGTCTTTTTAAGTCTAACCATCCTAGTGGATGTGGATGGTACTGCCGATGGTTAGATTTGCATTTTGCAGATGAGGAATGATGCTAAGTCCTTCTTCCTAGGTGGATTTGCCTTTGGGAAATACATTTCTGTATTCTTTTTTTTATTTTAGTTTTATTGAATTAATTTTTTTAAATACACAACAGTGGAAGGCATTACAATTCTTCTTACACATACAGAGTACAATTTTTCATATCTTTGTATATAGAGTATGTTCACACCAATTCATGCCTTTATACATGTACTTTGGGGTTTTTTTTGCAATTACAATTCTTATTACACATATGTATCACAATTTTTCATATCTGTTTATATATAAAGTATGCTGACACCCAATTCAAGTCGTCATACATGTACTTTAGATGTCCATCACATTCCACCGCCCTGGCTAATCCCCTGCCCCCTCCCTTTCCCTCCCACCCTTCATCCCTATCTAGAACGTCTTCTGTATTCTGATGAGTTGCTCTCATTTTTTTTTTTTTCCTGTTGGGTTCTGGTATTGGCCAGGGGCCCTTTAGGAGAAATACAACACACCCAGGAATTTAAACAAAGAAAAATATTATGGATATTTCTTAAGGTTAAGGGGTGGCTACCGACTGAAAGAGGGAAGGCTGGATTGTAAGATACACGGGGTGGCAACTGCAGAAAGTGACCATCCCTGGGGCTCAGGAGAAGGGGAACAGGAAGACCCGTGGCAGTTTAGAAAAGAGGTTCTTCAACCTGAGATGCAGTGAGATTCCAGCTTCCAGATGATGAAACTGCTGCAGAAACCTGCTCCCTGCCTCTGTAATAAAGATGAAATTGCTGGGGCTGCCCCAGATCCACAGGGGTCATGCACTGCCCGGAAGTGCTCTGGAAATCCACCTGAGCTGCAGCGCTTTGCATGCATGGTAAAAATTAGGGAAGGAAAACAAACCTTGTTCCTCCTCCATCTTTGCAGTTTCCTTCGGTGCCCCCTGTTGACAGAGCCCGATGTAGAGTCAGCTGGAAAAGCACAAATTCGGCATCAGAGTCCACTGCCAGGATTACAAAGCAGGAATAAATAGGGTAAATTTGGAGCCAAGAGGCAATAAATTAATAACTGGCACAGTTATGCGTCATTTTGTATTGATTTGCAGTTCTTTATATATTCTGGGAACAAGTTGTTTATTGGTTATTTGTGTTATAAATACATTCTCCCTCTCTGTGATTTATCCTTGCCTCTTTACGATGTCTTTTAATGAACAAACGTTTTCATTTTAATGTAGCTCAATTTATCCATCTTCTTTGATGGGAGTACTTTTGATATTTGATTTAAGAAGTCTTTTCTACCCCGAGGTTATAAGAATAGTCTGTGATGTTTGCCTTGGAAGCTTTATTGTTTTCTTTTCACCTTGCAGCCAAGGATGGCTCTGTGTGTATGGGCCGGGTAATGTGACGTCACTTGTCATATCCCCTCTGTGGCTGTCCAGCTGATGCAGCTGTCTTTATCAAAGGGACACGACTTCCGGTTTCCCAGCCACAGTGTGCCTTTGGTCCTGGATCAAGTTTATGGGCAGCGCGGTGCAGGCCTGTAATCCCAGTGACTCAGGAGGCTGAGGCAGGAGGATAGCAAGTTCAAAGCCAGCTTCAGCAACTTAGGGAAACCTGAAACAACTTAACAAGGCCCTGTCTTGGGCTGGGGATGTGGCTCAAGTGGTAGCACGCTCACTTTGCACGCGTGAGGCACTGGGTTCAATTCTCAGCACCACATAAAATTGAAATAAAGATATTATGTCCACCTAAAAAACTAAAAATAAATTTTTTTAAAAAAATCTGGATATCCAATACAATAAGTCCTTTATCTACTTCTTCTCAAGGATTATCTCAACTATTCTTAGGCCTTCAGAGTTCCATTAAAACTTAAGTCAGAAAAGAGCACACTATACGGATACGGCCACATCAATGATTATAGCAGCACAATTCACAATAGCTAGACTGTGGAACCAACCTAGATGCCCTTCAATAGATGAGTGGATAAAAAAATTGTGGCAGCTATACACAATGGAGT